CCTTTCTGATTCATGCCAAGTAAATTGCACCTCATAAATTTGTGGAACAGATTAGGAAAGAGACCTGTGTTTTAAATCTGGGCGGTGACATCTTGTGTTTTAACCACATTACAGGCTTTTTTGAACAGGAATAATTTCCTCTGCAGTAATCAGAAGTGTGTTTTCTTTCTGTATGTATCATACTTAGTTCTCTTGCCCCAGTTAAGGAATCCTTTGGTTAGTCAACAGTTTTGGAAGTGAAGCATCACCAAGAGACAGGGGAACAATAATATGATCACGCATAGTTCCTGTCTCAATTAAATTTCAACATTGTTTACAGTCATTGAGTCTTTTCCCTGGGGTCATCAGGCTGTACATCCACTCCATGGGCAGAGCACGCTGAGAGGTGATGCACCAGGTTTTCAATAGTTGGTTATTTATGTGCCTAAATGCCACTTAAAAATCTGGGCAAAGATGGCTCAGACATGTTTTCACAAATTAGTCACTCATAAGGGTAGAAAAAGAGTAATGTACAAAACTTACAGCTCTAGACCTCTGTATTTGTAATTAGTATGTTTTCTACTTCAGTTCACTGTGTGCATTTTTCCCTGAGCTGGTGCATTTGATTTGCTGTGCAAAGGAAAGATGTCAAGGGAATCGTTACAGGATCTTTTCAATGCTTTTCTCATAGATTCAGAGAATATCTACTGACAACCTGAAATCTTACTCTGGAGGTGCTGGATATCCAGCTGCTTCCTTGGGCTCCATTTTACTTTTCCTGAAAGTCCAAAATAAATTTACACACCACTGACAATTTGTGTTTCACTTGATAAATTCCTGCTTACTCCATTAGCAATAAGGCAGTTCCATGCTGTGGAGTAGTTTGGGATCACCTTCCAGGAAAACTGTGACTTCCTATCACTCCTGCCATTAAGTTGTTTACCTGATGAAATAATTTAGTGTAACTTCTCTGTATAAATTTTGATTTTTGTGAGTTGCTCCCACTGACATCACTAGGATTCCTCAAAAAAAAATAAATCTAAGCAAAATGTTCAATATTTTGGGATTTGGACCTATCTGTGGAAACTGTGATAGATCTGATCCAAAATAAATTGGTTTAAGATAATTGTAGTTTCCGTTGCTATAGTAAATAGCTTTTGGTGGCTTCAGAAAATACCAGTTTCTTCAGTGCATCTTCTCATACTGGTGATCTAAAAGCTGTTATTTTTGATAATGTTAAAGTTGAAGTATTCCCCATTTTGGAGTGTTGATATCACTGCACATTACAGGGTGATGATCCAGAGGATACACCCTGGAACTTCACATGCCAAGATGGAGAAAATCAATCTTTGTTAATAAAAAAAGGCAGGCTCAGTGGCGCAGAAAATCACTACTCTGGAGCCTTAACGAGGCTCCTTCAAAAATTCATGATTATAGAATGGAATCCTGGGCTAGATTATAGTCCTGAAAGAAACTGGGATATGGAAGAAAAAAATACCCAATTTTCATTAAGTGGAGAAAATAAAGAATAAATCCCATATACTGACATAATCACTGATCACCAGGATTATAATTACACGCCCAACATGTAAGAACATTTTCTAAGTTTCCCAAGTCCCTAATACTTTTCCTGAATACTTTTCAAAGTTGATTTTTTTTTTCTTGCTGTTTACTCATGCCTCTAGCACTAAATCCATCTAAATAAAATTTATGATTGCTCTAATCAATTGCTGTGGGGCAGCTGCAGGACACTGAACCTGTAGTGACAGACAGACACGAACAAACTCAGTCTTGACCTAATGATTTAAAATGAAGTATTTGGTGATGGCCCCTGCTGACGGTATCCATGATGCAAATACAGTATGCAATAAATATCAGAGAACAAACATCTTCATCCTCCTTCTGTGCACTGTGCATACAGCCATCCTGGTGAAGGCTCCTATGATATCACAGAATCCTGAGGACACTAAAAACCTTCCTTAAATGCAGATTTCCTGTTTTCTGTTTATGGGGAGTCTGAATTCCTGCATCACAGTCATTTGGGGCACAGAATAATTAACCGGCAATCCTGCAGTGTGTGATGTGTGTGCAATGTGTGATGGCTGATAATTTGGATGGTCTTTGGCTTGAAACACGGCTTTTGCACTATTAGAACAAGAAGAATTCCAGCTTCATTTTCATGGTATTTCAGCTTTCAGGCTTGGCATACCTGTAATGAAGACAGAATTATTTTAGATATAATCTAGTCAGCTGCCTGGAAGTATAGCCACTAAGTATATGCTACAAGGCTGTTTACCGTATTATCATACACCAAATTATTCCTTCTGAATTATTTTTCACATATTTAATGCAGCTGCAGATTTGCTCATGAAGGAACCTTTCAGTAGTTCAGCTGATCAGCTCAAAACCAAGAAGCAGCTTCTGACAGTTCATCTTCTTGCTTAGTTAAGCGTGGCTAAGTCCATGACTGTGGTGAATCCAGCACTCTAACTTTTATTTATCATTCATTCTTTCATTCAATGTTAGGGTGTATGTGTGAGGTGCTTGAGTGAGGGCAGTTTACTGTCGTGTAGGTACCGTCATCCCTGACTTCTGAGGTAAGCTGAGATTGGAATACTTTCACACAAATACTTAATTTTCATCTGTTTTGTGTAACAATTTATTCATAAGATGGGACTTCCTGGAAATCATTTGAATTATTTTCATTGCAAAGATGGACAAAGATGACAGCTGAGAGAAAGGAAAAATCTGACCTTAGAGTTCAACGCTTACTTGTATTTATAAATTTTCCATTGGATTGACTGGGATTGACATAGGATATGAGCTGGAAAAGATAAGTGTTAATTGGGGCAGTCAGCCCTCTCCCACCTTTAGCTTGCTCTTCCTCAGTATAATAATAAAGAATTTGCAGCAGAGATAACATAATGGCAAATTTGCACTTGCTGCTCTGCACTGTGTTTCAAATTTGATGTGCTCATAGAAGTCCTGTCTCTACCCAGTTGAGCTGGCACATGGACTTGCCAAGCTCAGAAAAGTACATTTTAATTGTAATGCCCCCATGTTACCATTCCTGATTCAAAGCTTCCCTCTGCTGTTCTCCTCCCTGGCTCTTTTTGTAATGAGTAGGAAAGACATACAGTGGATTAAACTAAAGGCAAGTGATGGGTAGGAACAAACTCTTGCAAAAGGTGAGCAGCTGCTTAGTATTCAGGAGCAGGCAGAGCACTTGAGCTCTGTGGGAGCTGTTTATTTGGCAAGGAGGATGCCTTTCCCTTCATGCAGCACCTTTCTGAAGCTGCAGCCATAGCTAAGGAATTGAGCAGGTATCAGTTAAGAGAAAGGGGGACAATTCTGTGTCAAGCCAGTCAGAGAAGTGAGATGGTCTTGCTTTAGTGCCAGAAAAATTGAGAGGGAATTTGTCATGATAACTGAGCACAATAAAGAGGCCTATCTGTTTCTGTGCCGCGCTGTCTGTCATGAGAATTCACCCCTTTGTAGTTCCTGCTGAATCTCAGGATGAGGATTTTGCCTGTGATGCTCTTGGGAATGTCGGGCAGGCTGGGCTGCACTGTGAGCACTGGTCTGGCTGTAAGTGGGCTCAGTTGACTGCAAACTCGCAGCTGCACAGCATTCCATCAGGGCCAAGGGAAAAAACAGGAGTGAAGGAGCTTTTAGCATCTTTTTTCTGTCCCTCTGATTCAAGGGTCTCTCTGGGCTGCTGCTCATACCGAGGTTAACTTGCTTCCTAAGAGAGCCAATGTTGTGGTTCTGTTTGCAATCTGACCCTCTGCTGCTGTGTACAGGCAGGCCTTTGTACCCAAAACAGGTCCAAATTACTGTACATAAACCATAATCTTCCAGTGAGAGCACTGTAGTTTTCCATTTTGCTGCTAATTGCAATAGTCTTTGTTACCGTGGCTGGTGCTGGGCACCAACAGGGAGGGAAGGCTTTTATGCAGAAATCTTACAAAAATGCAGTGGCTGTCCTCAGTTGAAACCAATTGTCAATTAACTAAATAACAGCCAATTAGCTTGAAGGAAAAAGAGAAGAAAATTGCTTACTTCACATTCCTTGTTGAAGCAGATGCCAGTCAAAGTATGGGAGTTTTTTTCTTTCTCCTATAAAGACAAAATGGCAAAAGATGTGCAGAAAATGCACAGTGGTGGGTTTTGGGGTTTTTTCCCTAATACCATCTTTTTCTCACATAAGAATATTTGAGGAACTAGATAAGAACATCTTAAGCTTCTGAGGCATTTAATTTCCTGTGATATTTAAAAATGAAAATGACAATCATTATGCAAGCACAATTTTTCCTCCTTTCTTTCACGCCTCTGTAGCACAAGGGCAGTTCTCTGAGGCTGTCTGCCTTCACAAGGGAAGACCAGCAAACAGCTGGCTGCTCTGTGGTGTGATGACAGGCAGAACTGTGATGTTGACCTTTGCATGACTGGACCAAACCCTTCCTCTTTCATATTTTTTGAACAACTCAGTAAGTGAGATGTTCTCAGAACTTAAAATGTTAAAAAACCCGGAGCACCCCGAGATTAGGCCAAAAAGGCATCTGCTACGAGCTAATTTAACATTGCTGGGTTAGTAAGAGACAGCCATTTACTCATGGCATATTGGCTTTGAATTTTTATTGCACTTTCCTCATAAACAGTCAAGGCCAGCAGTTAACAAAGGCATTATGTGGCCTTGCTTCCCGCCCATGGGCTGGACCACAGCTGGTCCCACAGGGTTGACATCAGGGTTACATCTGCCCAACATCCATTACTTGCATCGATCAATAAATCTTCACTTAGACTTTATACTCATCGTTCAGAAAGATCTTAGAGCTGCTCACAGCATCATTTCACAGGTTTCAAATTGTGTTACTCATTTGTTAATAAATCCAGGACCCACGTTTCAAAACTGGAGAGGGATGTCTTTTAACTACTGGGAAAACAATGGATATATGATGCTTTCTCATTACTGATGCGAGATTCAGCACTGCACATATTGATCTGTTACTTCCTTACAGGAACATTTTACACCTGAATGCAAGTTCAAAGAATCAGTATTTGAAAACTACTACGTGACATATTCTTCAATGATCTACAGACAGCAACAGTCTGGCCGGGGTTGGTATTTGGGTCTTAACAAAGAAGGAGAAATAATGAAAGGAAACCATGTGAAGAAAAATAAACCTGCAGCACACTTTCTTCCAAAACCATTAAAAGGTAACTGCCTGGGTTCACTCCATCCATCTGAACTAACATTGTCTTGTGTCAGAGGTGTTTAATTGCTGTGTATATGTCTTTGAAGGGTCTGGCTACTTATATAACAGGAGTATAATGTTCTGTAACATGCTGTTAAATCTAACCAGAGCTGCTTTTCTCAGGTTTTTCTACATTACCTCAGCATTTCTCTAATTTAACCAAATACAGTTACTAGTAACCAAAAACATTACTGGTTTCTTTGTGCCCAGGTCAATACTTTCCCTGTTATAGGTAATGAAGGCTCAGCCTGGAATGGTCCAAAAATCTGCTCACAGGCCATTAGTGACTTGCTGTATAGCTTATCAATTTGTGCTTCCTGTTACAGAATACTTGTTTATCTGGTTTTGTCTGAGATAAAACTCAGATGTGCTGTGCTTGTTTAACTGCAATTAACGGGGCATCAGCATATGACATTACCTAATGCATGTGGCTTCGATATACCACTGGGTATTAAAAACCAGGACATACAGTCATGCCAGTTAACTGAGGGATCTGAATCAGACTTGTGGTCAGTCTTGGCTCCCTCTTTGGTCAATGCCAAGAGGGAGATCTCAGTCGATGTATAAAGGTGCCTCCTTTTCTCCAGAACAACTAACTTCCATATGCTCTTTCCCTAAGAGGAATGAAGCCTTCTATTTCTGGGTTATGCACTTAGGTAGCCTTTTAAGGCAGTGTTCTTTTGAAATCAGAGAGGATATTTCAAAGGTACAGCACCCTGGGTGGATGCTGGTCTAGTCTGGCAGTCTACATTTAGGACTAGGTGCTAGGCAACTGATGTCGAGGTTGATCCTCACTTCTAATGAGTGTGAAAACAAAGGAAACAAAAGACTCAAAACCCATTTTCACACTCACCTGCTTAGGCTACGTATACAGGTAACAGGTCAAATCACAGCTGCCAACAGTGCTAATTCATGATTAATAAGGAAATGTAGATTTATGTCAGCTTAGGTCTATCTTGCAGAATTTTCTAATTGCAGTGGGTAGGCGGGTGGTTAATTGGGAGAGGGAGGGAGGGAGGGAGGAGCTGTGGTTTTTCCATTTTCTAAAATGGCAGTCTGTTGAAGAGGACCTCAGAGATTCTCAGGGACTGTTTGAAATGGAGAGTTCTACTGGCCATGGTTTTTCATTCTCTCATTACATTGCATATTTTCAAATGAAAAATCACAACATTTCACAGCTGGACTTTGCACCCACAGACTGAGTGGCACATGACATGTGCTGACGTGCTGCCTCTCTTTTGCTTTGCAGTGGCCATGTACAAAGAACCTTCTCTCCACGATCTCACAGAGTTCTCAAGATCTGGAAGTGGGACCCCAACAAAGAGCAGAAGTGTTTCAGGAGTGCTAAATGGGGGTAAATCCATGAGCCAAAACGAGTCAACGTAGCCAGGTTCAGGCAAGCCAAGTGCTCTCTAAACAGAACCTTACCTCTGGATGCAGTTGAATTCTTACTAGCAGTCTTTCATCCAAATGTTCAATTGCCCAGGACAAGCCACCGAACTTGCATAGGTCACTCGTTTATCAGCCATTAGATCTACTGGTTGTCAAAGGATATACCCCAATTATGTAGAATATGCTTGTGCATATCACAAGGCAGTTGGATAGCCAGCAAACGTAACTGCGGAATAAATCTCGGAGAAGAAATGTCCAGCTCTTTCTCTCTCTCACTTTTTCTTTCTCTCTTTCTCTCTCTCTCCTATGCTTTGTGGAATCCGAAACAAAAACATTTCACAGCATTCACTGCTGATAAGAATTTGCTTTCCAACTCAGAAAAAGACCACTTTTGCTCTTCAAAGGAAATTTTAATGCTTGTATGTTTTATAGGGGCAAACAAAAAACAAATATGTAAACTCTGTTGTTTCCTTGGCTTATCGTTTTATATCTAAGGCTTGATAAAAAAAAAAAAAAGTATCCTTTAATTTGGAATAGTGCTTTTTGATTTCTGAACTCCAATGGGTCTTTAAAGCTATGTCTTTAAAAAAAATAATTAAAAAATCAGGGTTGGAACTGAGAGTTGGTGTCTCAGGCTCAAGCAGTGTTCTTGTGGTTTTAAACACAATGAAATATAAATTTTTATAGATTTGTAGTTTCTGGTAAAGTTCTTGTGCTAACCCCAGTCTGTAGGAATTGAGTTGTTTTGTTATCCCAAGTGGAAGTTAACAGAAAGGGATAAAATTATCCTCCAGTGTAGATTTCTCTTAATTCCATTTTGTGCGTCATGTTAAACTATTGTTGTGGCTTCTTTTCTAAAGACAGAAACTGTGGAATTAAGGTGACTTAATTTTTTTATAAGAAACGTCTTATTTGTAAAAGTCCTTTCACTGTAACGGGCACGTGAATATTGTGTAGGAGGAAGCGTTAGGACAGGTTACCCCTAAACAACATATACTTATACATGCTATTGGAAACAATTGTTTAAAAAATGTAGTTAGGTTTCCATTTAGGTCATCATGTCTGTTGCATGGGAGAAAGTTGGAATATTGGCATAGAGTTGCATGATGTGTAAGATTTTGTGCATTAATCATTGTTGGATTCTGTGCTCCAAAACTGAATTAGTTCTGTACAGGCAGCTTTCTGCCTGGTACAAAAGAGTTGTTTATTATTTGTTGTATACACAACCATGCACTGAATAAACTATTTATATTAAGATGTACTTTTTAAAAAAGCTTGTTTGATTAAATGCTGTACATCTATGATTAATTTAAAGGGAAAAGGGTTGGCAATTAAATTAAAAAGTTATAAAAGATATTGTAATTAATGTTCAAAATCTTTCTGTGTGGTGGGTCATTCCCCTGTATTGCCATACACTATACAAATTAGAACATGTTCTTTCTTTTGGATATTTTTAGAACTGGTCTTGTGTGCCCAGCTGAGATACTCAAAACACAGTGACGATTCAGTGCCACAAAGTCTTGGTGACGCCCCCTCTGCCGTGCGCTGCTGGAGCCCCAGTGAATTGCACTTCTCTGCTTTGAGCTTTCCCAGCTTCTCCGTGTCTGCCCTCCCTGTTAAGACTTTCCATAGTGCAGCCACGTAGCGCTACCTCGCAGCAAACCTCAGAGCCCCCAGCACGGAGATCCCAAAATGATCTGGGAAGTCCAGTCCTGCTTGTGCCTGGTGGCACCTAGATGATGCCCAGTGTTTGCTGTGCATCACTGCAGGTATATTTATCAGCCAGCTGTATCTGGTCTTGAGGAAAAAAAGCTCCCATAGCCTTCTGCCTTTGTGCACATGCTCTGGAGAGAAAACATCCCTGTCTCCTGCCTTTTCTCTCCAAAAACATCCATGAAAACTTTTCTCCTCTACAGCATCCAGGCAGCTCTGACAGGTGAGCTTCACTCACCAAGGTTTTTCAAGAAGTCCTAGCAGGGAAAAGTTTTCATCATGGGTGGCAGAAGAACCAGGTATGTTAGTCTGAAACTAAAATCAGATATTCTGTTGTCTGCTCTGTGTTTCTCCCACTTGACCCAGCTGGAATTTAACCAGCTGGGTCAGTGCTTGGTCAGTGCTTTTCTAAGGTTAGGGCTGAGAGAGGAGGGAAGGAGATCATGTTTCAGATCTAACCCCCAGATTCATCACTTTGTGGCAAATAGTAAGTAAAGAGCTCTGACCTGCTGAGCTCCCATATTGGAGCAGGGTGTTGCTGTCCCCAAATACCCTCTGATGACCTTCAGAGGGCCCAGGGGACCCCAGCTTGCCCCTTTACATAGGTTGAATAAAGTGGAAGCACAACTAGTGCCAGAGAAAATCTAAAAAATTGAAGTTGTGGTCATGATTGCTCCAGAGATTTTGATAACTCAGTGGGTCTGAAGCATCTGTTCCCTTAAGTGTGGGATGCCCTTGGGAAACATTTCTCTTAACTCTCCCATCCCTAAAAATCAAACTTATTGGGGTACGTGTTCCAGAAAAGGAATCTGAGTGCCTTAGGAACATAAAACCTGATTTAGAAACAGGCATATCTGTAGCAAAGCTAGTTCAGTGCTGTTTACTATCCTAAATATAACTGGAGCTGCTCTGCTGCTTTACTTTATAGCTGCAGTCTTCCTGTTATTCTCCACCCCAAGTACTTCCAACCCTGAAGGTCATCTGAAGTGGAAGGAAAATGTTTGTCCCACAAATCATCCCTTCTGAGGTCTGTAGTCTGACCCATCTTTTGTACTGACATTGGCAGCAGCTGTGAGCATTCACTGCCAAATCTCTAGTTCCAAAGCTTTCTAATATACCAAGCTAACAAATGCCACTCTTGGATAGAGATGAGAAGAGAGATGTGGTGATAGATCAGCCATAAACAGATGTTTCTGACAATTATATTAAATTTCTTTCAAACCTGTTCCAACAATAGTTTTTCCCTCAGATTACTGAGGACTGAAAACACAGTAATCTTGATAGAGTCTGATAGTAGATTCTATGAGCAAAGTGGGGTATTATACCCAGGGTTTTACATGTAGTCTCTGGAACCAAAATTAGGATTTAATAAGGAAAATCAGAGTTAAATGTGACTTTACAGACAGTGAGTGGAGGTGACCTTCTAGCCCAGCCAGTAAAGTGAAGACAAGAAAAGAATGTGGCTTCATCCGAGGACCAGACTAAGGAGTCAGACTCTAAAATATCTACTTATCTTTTACCACCCATAAATTAGAAAGTTACACAGATGTCTTCTGTATAATACTTTCCTTTAAGATACCTGCTAGATGTTAGGAAGATGTCCATTTGGATGGTTGTCTAACAAATGAAAAATTATACCCACTGGTAAACCTGCTTTGCTCTGCCACAGGTACAACAGCAGAGTCCAGTGAGATGCACACCTGGAATAAGGAAAAGCCCCAGGACTGGTATGAATCCAAGCCCTAAGCTGTCTGTGAGCCACTGACCATCTGCAGAAGATGGTCTCAGGCCCTCTGTTATCGCCAAGCCAGTGACTAATTCCTTTCACCTGCTATTTCACTTGGCCCTGCCTCTCCAGCAGTGCTGCCCACAATCCTTGCAGCACACCATGGGCCTGGAGTTGGCTCAGGAGGTGCAAGTGCATCACAGCAGCTTCCTAATGCACCTGGGCTTCACTTGGCAAAGCCCTGAGCCACCACAGGGGTTGTGCACAGACCTTATGAGAGGCTGACAAATGTTACCTGCCAACCCAAAAGAAAACAGGTCACCCATGAAATTGGGAGGAATACTGCTAGGAGCATAACTATTATGAGGCAAAAATGCTGCTTTTTTGTGATCCACCTGTCAGAGCTGCCTCCTTGGAGGTCTATGCAGGGGGATCAGGCACTGCTGCTTAGCCTGGTCTTGGGATGAGAGAGGGTGGGAAGAGGTCTTCTCTCTTTCTTTTTTCCTTTTTTTCCTTTTAATTTACCTCATGCTACCTCATAGCATGGTTGTACCTCCGTAGCCACTTGCTCAGCCGTGTTCATCGCTGGCACGATGGAAGACAATTCCCTACTTTGGGAAAATATCTCCCAAGTTAGCCCAGGGAAGAACAGTGCCCCTTCTGCAGCACCGTCTGGTGTCCCCACCACTGGTTCCCAGCCCACAGGCCAGGTCTTCCAGTGGGATAAAGACGGTCTAATGAGCTCAGGGATGCTGTGGTACGCCAGGCCTCTCCCCAGCTGAGCACCAGCACGAGAGCCAGGTCTGGCAGAGCTCTGCTGTGTCTTGAGTATCTCTGTGTGGAGACCAGAGCCAGCTCTAATGGGTTTAAATGTCTCCCCGACATATCCTTGACCAGGACACTTTTGCAGGACAGAATCTGTACGTAACAACCTCCTATCTTCTAATAAATGATTCTCTCTAAAACAGACTCCCTCTTGTCTGGGCTCTGATTTTTTTATCACCGCAGGTGTTTAAGGGCTCTCCACCCCATCACCAGTGCACTACACTATCACTTAACATTTCCTGGGATACAGACCCTTCTGAAATTGTATTTTTCCTCTGTCTTCCTGAACCAGAGAGGGGCAACTTGAGTGGTCAAGCCAAGACCAACACAGATAGATTCTTCAGTTTTCTGTATGCTTGATGTGGTCCCTGAAGGTCACGGAAAATGTGATGCATTTTACCAGCTCAGGGAATGGCTACTATGTTGGAGCTTAGTTTCCATGGTTTTGTCTGACTTTGTCTCTGCAAAAATTACACATGAGTACAGCAGAAAGCCTATTTAAAATAATTTGATTTCTTAGGAAAAAGACCTGCCATGCAATTTACGCTGAACAACACCAGCTCTGGCCTTTTTCAGCTCCTTTGGGAGGGTGATGTCCTCGAGAACATAAAATTCCCCATTTACCACGTAAATTTTTAAGAAACTCACTTCCCTGGCATGAGTGAGCAGAGCTGTGGGGCCCTGCCCTTTGCTGGTTCATGCTTTTTGGAGAGCCAGGTCCTGAAATAAGCTGGGTTTTCTGCTGTACAATGGCTTTTACTGCTGATTGGCTCCAGTAGCAGAGCTTACCCCGCTTTGAGGACATGCCACGTCAGTTTGGGGGGCACTCAGTCACCTTATGCAGCTCCTCTTGAGGGGAAGTTTAAATATTAAAGGAAAACCCAAATTTGAAACACGTTTTACATTAATCAAAGAAATTGATGTAATAAATTATTTCATCTCATCAGGAACTAGAAGACGGTTTATAGGGTTCCCTTCAAAGTTCATTATTAATGATTTGAAATTTAAGATTCTTAAATACCATGTATGGAAAATTACTTTCAAGCACTTGTAGGTCTAATTTTTTCCCCAGATTACATTTGATATGTCTCACCTAAATGCAACAACTGGAGGGGCAGGATGAATGCTTTCATGTCCCATGGGTTTCTCAGCACTGCACACTGTCACACTCATTTTCTGAGCTTGTCCCCTGGCCAAGGACATGGTCAGAGGACCACCCGCCACCAAGGGCCATCACATCTGTATTTGGAGGAACAGTTGTCCCTGTTCTGGCATTTGTAACACACAGAGGTGGTAGATGTGATGAGATGTTGATCAGGGCTGATCTGAGCTGTTGATGGCATTCTCTGGGGAACACACAGCAGACTGGCAGCTCTTTTACACTCTTTGTTCCTGCATGGAGATAGCTCAGCTCAAAGCAGCCTCCCAGGGGAGCCTGGGGTGAATTTGGGGGCTTTGCAGAGAAAAGAACTGCTCAGGCACTGACAGTGAAATGCTGCTTGTTTTGGCTGAATGGCTGTGGCAGCAGCAGCACTGGGAGGACCATGGCTGGCATCTGTTAAAAGTAATTAATTAGTGAACAAACTGCAAAGCTCTGAAAAGTAATTTGTCATGATTCCTCACCCACACCCTAAAGAAATCTACAGCACAAACAAAAGCCCCTGTCGCACTGGGGTGAGCAGATCATTCTTTCACCCTTCCTTGGCATATTGATGTAATTCAGTTGTCGGAGCTGGTTACACAAAGCAGGGCCCAGCACTTGGAGCAGGAGTAGAGACTCCACTGTCCAAACCTTTGCAGCAGGTAAGTTTCATACAGACAAGAAGTCAGAACTCTTTTAGTGTTTTCAAACAGTATTATATCTAACTTGAGGGAAAACCTATTGAGGTATGAGCCGAAGTCAGTGAAAACTGTCTTTTTCAGTGAAAACTATCTTTTTTTGTGAGCTCAAGATCAGCCCTACAAACAGAACACATCTAGGGAAGAAAGAAGTTTCAGACACCCTCTCAAAAGGAACAGGGAAAAGAAAGGGTTTAAAAGAGTCTACATGAATCAGTGTTTCACTCAGAAACTCTGCAAAAGACACTTGGAGCATCTCCAGTTCTGTATGC